TGTGTCTTAATGGTGATATCCAGAGAGAAACAGAAGTCTATATGTAAGTATGTCATCTACTTAGTCCAGCAGTGGGCACCACAGAGGTTATATGTCAATAACCTGGAAAGCCTTCTGGCCCCCGGCAGAGCAATGGCAAGTACAGCTTATCCCACAGCAGTGCTCAGGGTGGGTTTGGCACTGTTTGAACCACCACAGGCATAACCATACACAAGCAAAGTAACACAGGCTGAATTGTCTTCATACAGGTATACAGCATGTTTGATCCACAAGCAGTGTAATTTAATTTTAAGATAGCAGCAGGACTGGGAGTGCGCAAAGTAGAAGCTTTCAGTGTGCAGGAGTCTACCAAACATCTTAATTAATTGTTAGTCATACTCTGAGACGAGATCTTGCCCAGAAGGCTTTGTATTAAAAGTGCAAACTGCTATTAGTGGGGTGCATTTCCAAAGAAGTGAGAGCCTCTGGAGTGAACTGACAGAGATCACAACTGTGTTGCGAATGGAATAACATCTGAGGTTTTGGGAACCCTAAGGTACAGCTCTTCCTATATATTGATTTGAGGAAGCCATTCCATATTTTAATTAGAGAAGTAATGAAACAGCCCTGGGAAACCACCAGCTACATATTGGTTAAGAGTGAACCTATTAAATGTGTATTTCAGCTATCAGCACTGATTGGCACAAGACTGTGTCCATACTATGTTGTACTTTTGGAAATGAGAACATAATGATGGGAATTGGCTTATTAGTTGTTCCATTGGAAATGAGAATGGTTTATTATTTGTACAGTTTGTTGTCTGGATTTTTTTACAGAGTAGTGTTGTTTCTTAGTCTTGGGAAACAAATTATAAATTACTGTTTCCTTGTTCAGAATTTCCAGAACTGCAGAGAGTGTCTGGTTTGTGAGCTGCAAATGGGAACTGGAGATGAGAACTTGCACAAGAATATAAGAAAAGTCATTCCCGGCAGACTAAAGGTCTGTTTATCGCAGCATCCTGCCTCTAAACCAGAGGGTTGGCTCACTTCCCACTGCTAGGAAAAGGTCTGAGTCTCACTAGGAGCACAAGCAGCTCCACAGAAGTTGCCTAAACTATGAAACAATGGACAAGAGCCCCTGAAACCTTTCTGACCGTCAGTCGGCAGCTCTGACTGATGGTACCTTGCTGGATCTGCCAGCCAAGCACTTGCTCGGTTTTCTTTCTGTAAATGTTTTGCATCCACAGCACCTAGCCCCCAAAACTTTCCCTTTCATTCTTTCCTAGGAGAATGTCCCTTGCTTATGTGTTGCCTGTGTTCTCTTTCTGTAGGCAGCACAGATGAGATTGTGAGATTGATTTCAAGCAAGCTAACTTGCCTTTTAGAGAAGTTCTCTCTCTGTTGCCCACAGAGGGGACCTGTAGAAATGCTTATAAATAGGGAGGATGAGTCTGGGCCTTGAATGCTCCCTCTCTTGGCCTCAGTACTGGGGTGTCCTGTAGTCTCTGCACAGCAGCTGTAAGCAAAAGCAAGTATATTTCAGCACTGCAGGAAATTAATGATACAGAAGCAGCTCACCTGTCTCCTCAAATCGTTTGCTATTCTTACCCTTGAAGAAATATAAATACAGGTGAGAGGAAGACTGGCTGAAGCTTAGGCTACTATATCTTTTGTGATAGATAGCCCTGGGCAAAACAATTGTCATAATTTTGGAGTCAATAAGGACATTCACTTTGCTTCTCACCACCAAACCTGAGAATAATATAAAGAAAGTTAATTTTAAGGATTTTAGGCTTAGTACTTTCAGTAGCCATTGTGATGTTAAAATTTACTGGTTTATTAACCATTTTCACTAATAAATTATGCTATTTCTCATGTGAATATGTCTAAAATATTGGATACTAAGGATCTCACTGCCAGATCAGAACCGTAGTACAAGTATGTAATTTTTACCAGCATCAGGCAACAGCACAGTTACTATATGTTGTGGTTAGGGTAGAATCATGTGCTTTAATTTGTTCAATGTCAAGATGAAGAGAAGAGCTTCCCACTCTGACCAGTCATTTCCAGTCTCCAGTCAGACGCAGACACAACTCTTTCTGTAATGATTTGATTATTTGAGGGGGCTTGCCCTAAAATGAATCAGTGAAATTATGTGAGATTTTGATTTTCTGAATCAGATGACTTCCTAGATAAGCTGTAATATTAGTAACATGGGACTGCTCTCTCACAAGGCTCAAAATGTGATCCCCCATCCTAGCCCTTTCAGCAACCCTGCTCTTAAAACTCTGGGATTTTATAGCTACCTATCTGCTATTTAGTCCCACTTCTTCCTTGTGGATTGCTGACAATGTTCTGCAGACTACTTGCTCATCTTTGGTCATTCAAATCAGACTGAATTGAACTGGCTGAACATCTGCCTGTTGATGGGAAGCAGTGAATGAATTCCTTGTTTTGTTTTGCTTGTGTGCATGGCTTTTGCTTTACCTGTTAGACTGCCTTTATCACAACACATGAGTTTTCTCACGTTTTCACTCTCCCATCCCACTGGAAGAGTGAGCAAGTGGCTGTGTGGGCTTTAGCTGCTGGCTGGGGTTAAACCACAGCATTCCTATAGGTGGAAATCAATGCAAATGCAACGAACCAAGTGGTCTTATTTTGTGCAAAACAACATGCACAATCCCTCTGGAATCCCTGGCATAATTTCCTACTATCCCAGCTGCGCTGACTGAAATCAGCTCACCATAAGCCAATCCTGTGTTATAATCTCAGTGCCAGCCTTCATTTTGCTTAGCTTGTTTAACATCTGGTACTGTGTTGCAGGTTCTGCATTAATTAAATCATAGAAGTCTATTACAGAGTGACACTGCCATAGAGCATCCCAGGTAAATAACGAACAGTTTGTTGAAAATGAGTGCAAACAATATGGCTTTGAGTGTTTCCGTAAACCTAAAATCCTCACTAGTAAAGGCAGAGACCCTCTTTAGCACTCAAGAAGTATGTTCACTCAGCAGGTACAATGATCAGCCTCCACGTGCCTCCGGATCACAGTGGAGAACAAAAAGCCTACCATCTTAGTTACAGCAAAAATCTTAATTAAAAAGCTTCAGCTAACCAAAAAGCTTAATTAGTTTCATCTTTGTCAATGGTTTCTTTTGTTCACAGTAGCCTACAAAGGGCTCCCAGGGCAGTTCAGCTGTCATATCCAAAGGATAGATAATCCTGGGAATATTTACTGGGCATTTTTGCAAGCAGCTGAGGCTAATGGTCCTTTATCTGGCACAGCTGTAGCTGGATGAGGCTACATGCCTGCTACCAAGATAGGCAAGGTAAAGCAAAACAAAATCAGATTTGTTTCTTCTCCAGCCTCTGAGATCCTAAGTACTTGCCAGTTAGTCAAGTCAAAAGGGTGAGATCAGATTTGCTTGTTGCATGTACGACACCAGTGTTGCACATCTGACCTCCAAAGTATGCTTACAAGACGACAAGAAAAAAAGAAATCACAATTTTTTTACTTAAGCAAAGCCCAAAAGACTTTATAATGCAAAGTGCCAACAAGAACTCATAACAAGATGAAATGCATCAATTTTTTATTTAGGTGAAGACTGTCAGTTTAAACCTTTCCAAAATGTTCACAATTTTTAAGAAAACCCAAAACATTAAAAGAGGATAGCTGTTCCTTCCCCATGGTGGGTGAGGCCTCTATCTGGGCATGCTCCACTTGCCTGCCTTTAAAAGCAAGGCCCACCACCGTGCTGGAGGATGCTTGAATGTGGGGTTTTGAAATGGATGACTTTTTTGGCCAAGGATTTCCAGGAGAATGGCACTTCCCTTGCTACCAGTTGTGAGTATTTACTGTTAGAATACAAAAGTAGTCTGTTGGGTTGAGATGTTACTTTTGGTGCTTGCCTAGTACGAGCTGTAACCTACTGAACCAAGTTTGGGACCTGTGCTGTTACTGCTTCTTCGGGGACGTGAAGCCCCTTTGCCTTTTCTTTTGTATGTGACTTGTGGCCTTGCTCCCTTCCTAGGCAGGGGGACTGTAATACCTTAGTTTTCCTCTGAGGGATGTAGTGGGAAACACAGGTCATGGGACCTGCCTCTCTCTGTGTCCTCCATCCACTTACCCAGCGATAACCTGAGGAGTTACAGCATCCCGTCACTGCTCAGGAGAGGATTCGCCCCATGATTTGAAAGTGCCCATCCTATTTCTCTTTTCTCTCTGTCCCCTTCTCCCCAAAGCTCAGTTTGGTCCTATCTCCTCCAAAAAGAGGTGCTGCCCCGCCCGCCCAGTCCTCCGCTGCCACCGGCTCTCGGCTGGGAGATGACACCCAGCCTGACCCCCGGCTCCGCCGCGAGTGACCGGCGGGGAAACCGGTGCCGGGTGTACCCCGGACCCTCTGTCACCCTCCTCGGATCCGGCCCGCCCCGCTCCCGGATCCGGGATTGCCCTTCCCGGACACCCCGTACACCGACACCGCCTCCCCCGTCCCGCAGGTACAGCGGGACCTCGCAACACCTTCGCTGCTCTTACAAGGCTCTCTATTAGTGTGTTTTTGGGGGGCGTTTTTGGTTTGGTTGGGTTTGGTTTGGTTTGTGGTTTTTTGTTTGTTTTTTAAGGAAATAATGACACTGCTGAACGCCCTGCAGGTCCCGTCCCGGTCCCAGCGCGGCCCCGCCGGGCAGGACGCTGGGCGGGCCGGGGGTGCCCGGTGCGGGGCGCGTCTCTGCACTGCGTGTACCCGGCTACCGACCCGCGGGGCTCTGGGGCAGCCGGGGGGTCCCGTTTCATCCCAGCAGGAGCGGCGCTGGGGCAGCGAGGGAGGGAGGGACGAGGCCGCCGGGTTGCACTTTTCCGCGGCACGCCGGTGGGATGCGGTAGTTGCTGCGCGCCGCCAGCCTTTAGGTGCATCACGGTAGCGGCGGGGGCGCGGCAAGAGCCGGTCTGGGTGGCATCTCTATGGTTCCGGGTGCGGCCGCGCCGGGCGGCCGGGCAGGCGGGCGCTTCCTGCCCGTCTCTCTATGGTGACTTTCCGGGGGGAAGGGCCGGCGCCGCGCGCCTGCGTGTGCCGGACCCGCCCGCCCCCCGCCGAGGCCGTGCCCGACGCGCGGAGCGGCGCCGGCTGCCAGCGCTCGCGGCGCCGCCGGTGCGGAGGAAGGCGCGCGCCCCGGCCCCCGCCGCGCCCCCGGCGCCCCGCGGCGGCAAATGGTGGGGCCGGACGATGCCGGAGCTCCGGGCGGCGCAGCCGTGCTTCCCGCGGGCCGGCAGGAGGCGGCGGCGGAGGAGGCGGCGGAGGAGGAGGAGGAGGACGGGGAGCGGGATGGGAGCCGGGGCTCGAGCCGGCGGGGCGGAGGGCCGGGGCAGGAGCGGCTGCTGCAGCGATACCTGGCGGCGCTCGGTCCCGCCGCGGCCGCGGGTGGGAAGCGCTGCCCGGAGAAGCCCGCGAACGGGGCCGCCTGCGCCGTGGGCCCCTGCGGGAGGATGACCAACGGGGACGTCGGTTTCCTGCTGCCGCCGCAGGAGCCGCCGCCGCCCCCCCGGGCAGGACGGGATGAGCCGGGGCCGGAGGAGGAGGAAGCGAAACTGCAGAACGGGGGCTTCCTCCCCTGCCCGCCCGGCCCGGCGGGCGGCGGCCCCGCGGGAACCGCCTTGGAGGAGCCGCTGCGGAGCTGCCGGCTGCGGGGCGAGGCGGAGCGGCGCGGGGAGGCGGCCGGCAGCCCCTCGCCGCCCCGCAGCCCCGGGGGTGACGCCGGCAGCCGCTCGCTGGCCGCCCCCGGCGTGCGGACCTGCCGGGACCGGCCGGAGCCCGCGGCGCTACCCCCGGCGCCCCTCGGCTTCACGGACGTGAACCTGAACTCCCGCAACACGTACGAGGTGAGCCGCCGCCGCAGCGCCCCGGAGCACCTGTCCCACGGAGGAGGGACGGCGCCTGCAGCCCCGGCACCGCCGCCGCAGGAGCCGCCGGAGAGGGCCCGGCACCGGCTGGGCATCGCCGGCGCCGGCAGCAGCTTTGCCGAGTTCTTCACCAGGTAAAGGAGCCGGCGGCGGGGCCGGCCGGTGCCTCCGGCAGAGACCGGGGCAGGGGTCGGGGGATGCCCCGCGGGGCGCAGGCGGGCGGGTTCGGGTCTGTGCCGGACCGGCGGGGCTGTCTGAGGAGCGTGTCTTGAGTGGAGAGTGTCTTACTGCGGGTCGCAGGAAGAGGTATTCCAACCTTAACGGACTCTTTTGCCAGCGAGCAGGCACTTTTAGAGTAAGGCAAGGCTTTGCGTTGGACGTGACAGTAATACGATAGAGGCGCTTTTACTGCTACGAACTATATGGACTTCAAACTGGAATTTGCTTCCTGTACCAGAGCATTTTACTGTCTGGATCATCACAGTGGTACTGATTAAACTGCTTGGGGAATAAGGTTAAAGTTGTTGGTATTGGAAACTACTTTCAAATCATCGTGGAAGTTCCAAAAGCTTTGCTACTTGGTGATGGTGTAGATAGAGTTTACTTATTTATTTTAGAGTGTTTTGTGGAAAGCTTCAAAGACAAGGCTCAGATTAACTTCTCTTAAGTTTCTAGCACAAAATCAAAAACTACAGGGCATCCAGCTAAGTTACCTGGGAGCTCTGTAGCATTGCTCATTCTTTAGCATATTACACAGGAGATGCGGCTTGACTATAATAGTTTATAACGTACTCTATATTACTTTTATTAGGTTTGAAGTGGGCAGTTTAATTTCCAACAGTATTTATTCTCCCAAACCCCAGGGTTATAGTTATTGTGCAACAGTCACTCTGAAAGCCCAGGACGTCTCTAAATATCTTTAGAAAACAAAATAAGATTAAATCTATTAACTGAAGAAATGAGATAGGAGAGGTTTGATCTCAAGGTGGGATACCAAATTGAGAAATAGGCTACTTCTGCTGACCCTCGGGAAACAGGGAGATGGATTCCTGTCTGAGGACAGAGATAGTGGTAGTTGCAGTGTAAGTTTGGTGCATCTGCTTTGTGTCAAGGATAGATTGAGAGATGTCCCTCTATTCCTGCTATTTCCTATTAGTGTTCTTCCCTTCCATGTTGTGTGAGCTGCAGTATACTACCTTCCTTTTGCCTCATTTCTCGAACATTTTGACCAAAAACATTCGTACCTTTTTCTTTTTACCCCAGAGCAGTAGCTGATTGAAATTCTGGAGAATTTTCCTCTTAGGTACTGCAGTTTAACCCCAGCTGGCAACTAAGCATTATGTAGCTACTGGTTTTTCTAATAGCCATAATTATATGGAAATTGTTCTAAAAAGTGGACACTTCTTGCATTTATTTAAAGAAAATAAGAGAAAGCAAGGGGGAAGCCCTACTGCCTTCAGTATGAAAGCTTCACTGTTGTAATTGCCATGACTGAACAGTTTGACTGATCAGACAGATCTGGGTTAGGAGGCTGCTGTTTCCAGCTGCTTATTCCCAGCTCTTCAGTTATCAGACTGGCCTGCTTCATAGTTCTTTGAAATAATCCATGTTAATTGTCTGTCTTCATTTCACTGAACTGGAGGAGAAACCAATGAGGTGAGGTGGGGGAAAAAGTAAGCAACTATCAACAGAAGCTTCTCACCCAAAGTCTGTGACAGGAAGAATGACTGTACCCTTGAGATAGTAATTAGTAATTATTCTAAGATCCCGGGAAAGTTTGCATCAGTGATTAAAGCCTTTCTTAGGTAAGTATTAGGTGTAATATTTGGCCCTGGGATCTTAGTTGTATTTGTGCAAAATCATTAAGCCTGTCAAATCAATGCTAACTTTTAACTGAAAAATAATCAGTTTTGTTCTTCTTTCTCTCAACATATGAAGTGGGATGCCATGAGTAGATCAGGGCTATGTTGAGCAGAGTGCTGTGGCAAGGAAAACTGTATGACTATGGTCACTTGTCTCCACTGTGCTACCGTTATGTTCAGAGCATTAAGTGGCTTCTTGAAAGTCACCTGTCACTGCCTTGTACTCCTGTGTATGATTCTTAGTACAGCCATATATAAGCATTGTTCTTGTGGTTTGTGGTCTTACATAGACCTTACAAGGGCAATGCTTTGTTCTTGGGTTATTGGATCGCTTTCAGGTAGCCCCAGTGGATTGCTATTTGATACAGAATGGTTCAGTGAGCAGGAATGTTGTGTGGACAGTTGAATTAAAGCTGTGATGACTGGAATGATACCTTGACTATGCTCTATCCCCCAAAGCAGCCCATACACAGCAGAAGAGTTAACAAAAAAGGTCAAGCAGGAGTGAGTATTCCAGTGCTGGGATAAAGACACAGTGATTCTGCACCTCTTTTAAAGATGAGTTCTACTTCATAGTTCTACAAGTATGTACCAGGTGTCTTTTCAGCTTGTATAGGTATTGTTCCTTCCTGAATTATGTATTTACTAGACAAATTCAGATATCTGGTAGCTGGCGAAGCTTTTTATTCCTGGATTCAAAGCTTATTGTTGACAACAGCAGTGATACTCGCTTGTTATAGTAGAGCACCATTTTCCCAAATAAATGTTTTCCAGTATTCATCTAACAAGATTCACAAAGAACTTAATTCCTAACTGCTACTTCTTGTAGGTCTTTGTGATGTGCTGTGAGAAATAGGTGTAAGGGGTTGTAAGCATGTATGGCTTGTTGGCATACACATGCTTATAGAAACTGTCTTTAGTCTCATTCTCCCTTCCTCACCCAGAATGGTTGTGTTTATTGTCCAGAAGTTTTGATAAATATTCATTTGGGGAGTTGATGGAAAGTTGAAGGGAGTCAGTATTTGTAGGAACAAAGAATTAAGAAATCATTGAAGCTCACATCTTTTTCTGCCTTGTTGTAAACACAGTCCTGTGGTTCCATAAGTAGGTAGTTCTTCAAAAGCTGCTAATCTTTTTGCCTCTACAAATGTCCTTGGTACAGACTGGAGGGTTGAAGAGAGGTTCGCTTCCCAGAGTGTTGTTACATGTGTACATAGTAGCGTCTCTAGCTCTGTAGTTTAGTTCAGTTTATTACTAAGTAGCACTTGCATCTTTTTGTGCTACATAGGCGTCTACCTGGTCTACAGATGCATCCTATGAATGTTTAGTACCAGAATCAATGTTTTTCTTAGAGAAAAGTTCTGCGTACATAAGGCAACATGAAACTTCAGGGGATGTACTGTGCATCTATGGAGAAAAAATATGTTTATCAGGCTTTTGGTCAAAAACAAGAGTCAAGTGGGAACGGGTTGTCCTAGTTGTGATGGATCTTCTAAACTTTCTGTTCATGTAAAGATAAGAGAACAGATTGATGGGATCACTTCACAATTCTTAATTTATATTTTGCTACTGCCTGTGCCTATATCTTGGTCAGATCTTACTGACATCCCGAAAAAGCTTGTGTGTTCTATTTTTGATTTCGGGGTTGTTTTTATATTGCCCAGATAAAACAAATAAACCCAAACAAATAAAAAAGTCCAAATATACTGTCAATTTATTGGAAAAATGATTGGAGAGAAGATCTAAGGGAATACAACAAATCTTCCCCATGGAAATCATTAGGTCACCCTTCACCCTTCTGTCTTTGTTGAACCCAGTTGTTTTTCCTTTCTCCACATAACCTTGTAACCTAAGTGAACAAGTGGATACATATAATTGATTTGAATTAAAGCTGACTGGAGAAAGTAGACAAGAGCACCTGGACCCAAATCTGTGAGTAACTTCAAACAGTATTCTTTTTTTCCTGTGTTAGAGATGTGATTAACTTGATATAAACAAGAAATAGCATTCATATTATTGAATTGAGAAGCTCCTGTGTAGATTATTCCTTCACTGTTTGCTAAGAATGATTTATTTTATGAAGTTGCATTGACATGTTTCTGGCTTTCAGTCACATGAATAATAAATATAATGACAACTTAAGTAAATGTAATCTCCAAAGTAAAGCAGACTCTAGCAGACACTGAAGATGAGTGCTCAGCATTATTTTTTTTGACTCAATTTTTTTACTAACCGTGTACATATAAAATTTTACCCAAATTATATAAAGCTTTTATTCATAAGAAGTTAAGGAAATATCTCTGGGCACCTAAAGTTTTTCTCACAAGTGCAGATCCCACTGTAGGAAGTTAAATCTAAAGGACAGCACCCTTGTTTTTATTAGTGCACCAGTTCCAAGCAGTTCACAAAAATAAGCAAGTCCTCAAGATCTATGAATTTCTCTGTTTGAGAAAGCTTCAGTCTCAGGTCTCATGATGCATAGGTTTCAAAGAGTTTTTTGTGTTGTTGGAAAATATTAGCAATAGGTGCTTGACAATAGGTAAGATGCTGTGCACCCACAGAACCATTTTGCTTAGGATGTTTGTCTGGCAAACCAAAGTTAAATTTCAGGTGTGCAGGCAGAAGAGTGTTATGTTGATTTACCTCTCGATAGGTTTCAGGTTGCCATATTGCTCCAACTTCTGTTTCCAGCCAGTCTTCCCTCCCCACCCCCTCCCCCCCAAAAAGCTGACTAAATAGATGTCATTCTAAAGCCTTAGAGCCACGTGTATAATCTTCATCATTTTATAATACCTAAAGTATTATTAGCAATTTCTCTGCTCCCCTTGGTGGACAGTGTAATAGTCTACATTGGTACCTATATTTCCACTAAGAATTTTGTAACTCTATTAAGAGTTTTTGTGAAGTAAGTTCTCCTTAAACTAATGCTGTAGTTTTTTTTGGGGGGTTGTGTGTGGTTTTTTTCAAGCTAAACAGCTGAATTTGCTGTTTAGCGTGCAGCAAACTGTTGGAGTCAAAGCTTGTTTTGCTAAGGAGTGTTTTACAGAGGCATTTTAACTTAACCTGAAAGCATCTCTTCTCCCCCTCCCCCGTCTCTTCCCCTTACTTCATTTTGCAGAAGGCCTTTTCATTACTTGGTCTCTTCTGCTTATTTTGTGTCACAGGATTTCTTACAGACTCAATATATTGAGAGTAGCGTGACAAAGTGAATGGGACCTCTCTTTTGAATAGGCTATGACTAAAAGGACAGTGTTTTACATGGGAAATAACAA